GCCTTCCAAGTAGCTGGAACTACAGGCATGCGCTACCATGCCCGGCTAATTTTTGATTTACTGTAGAAATGAGGTCTCGCCAAGTTGCCCAGGTGGGTCTTGAACCCGTATTTATTTTTGAGTTGGAGTCTTCACTCTTGTCACCCAGGCTGGAGGAATGTAGTGGCACGTTCACGACCACTGCAGCCTTGACCTGCTGGACTTAGGCCTTCTGCCTCAACCTTCCAAGTCGTTGGAATTACAGACTCACACCACCATGCCTGGCTAGTTTTTGTGGTTTATTGCAGAGATGAGGTCTCATCAACTTGCCCAGGCTGGTCTTGAACCCCCAGGCTCAGGCAATCCTCTTGCCTTGGCCTCCCAAAGTGCTGGAATTACAGGCTGAGCTGCCGTGCCCCGCCTCTCTCAATTTTTTTATTATGAAGAATAAAGTCTTATTTAGAGAATAGAAGTTAACCTGAAAAGATATTAGTTGGCGTTAGCTTTGCTTTATAGGGATCAACTGGCAAAACTGATTTAAAAAAAAAACAACACAGACAGGAGAGAGGCAATCAAATTCAAACATTTGGGAAAATTACATATCTTTGTAAGGAATTTAATGATCAATTTGGAAATTATAGAAAGTATTTAAGTTGTGGAGAGCACAAATGTATATATGTAGGATGACTTTTTTAAAAAATTAAATAAAGATGGGATTTCGTTATGCTGCCCAGGCTGGTCTCGAACTCCTGACCTCAAGTAATCTTCTCACCTTGGCCTCCCAAAGCACTGAGATTGCAGGTGTGAGCTACCATGCCTGGCCAGAATGACATTAAAAAACAAACAAACAAAAAACTTTCCCTAATACTAACTGATTGGGTACTTGGATCTTGAGATAAAATTTCTAGTGACATTATATGCAGATTTTAAAATCACTGTTTAACAAACACTCAGAAAGAAGTGAAAATGATATGCTCTGAAACTTTTAGGTGACTTGAGAAGTGTCTCTGGTGATGACGAAGACACCGAGATTGAAGCTGTCCGTGAATTGTCTGGATAAAACTGTTCCCCGAATTGTGAAAACAGCAATTTCCAAATTAACATTTATGTCACTTTAAGTGTGCATATAAAATGCACTTACGAATTGTTATGTATAGATATGTGACTATTTCACCTACACCTTTAAAAGTTTATACAAGGGGGACCCCCAAAAACCTGGAACTTATTTATTAAAAACTGTGTATTTATTCTTACACGTTTAAACTTCAGTCACCTTCAAAGTACTTTCCGTTTGACGCCACACGTCTATCAAGACACTTTTTCCGCTGCTCAAAAACAGTTTTTGAACGTGTCCATTTTGATGCCTTTTAGTGCTTCTTCTATTTTTTAGTTTCACCTCTTCCACCTGGGTAAAATGTTTCCCTTTGAGGACTTCTTCATCCTGGGAAACAAAAAAAAAAAAGTTGTTAGGGGCAAGATTGGGTGAATAGGGAGGGTGGGGCTTGGGGTTCATGCAGTGTTTGATCAAAAACTGCTGAACACTCAGCATGGCATGGGCAGGTGTGTTGTCATCGTGGAAGAACCAGTCACCTGTTTGCCACGGCTGGGGACGTTTCTTCCGCAAATCGTGATGTAACCCTCTCAAAACTTCCAGATAAAAACTTTGGTTTATCTTGAAGAACAAATTCCAAGTGTACTACAAGGGGCATGCCCTCCAAAAGATAATTCCAGGGTTTTTGGGTCCCCGCTTGTATATTCAAATTGTCAACCCAGACCATACAAGTCTTTTTTGCCCTTTCTCATTGGAAAAATTGTCAGTCACTTTATATTCGAACATATACTCCTTATCATTGATAAAGGGTTCCATTAAAACACACTTAATTCAGTATGGAGAACTTAATTGAGATATGTAATGTTAAATATATTTGAATTTTTCTCCCTAGGAATGAAAAAGTTTTGAACTGCTTATATCAAAAGCCTGATGCGGTATTTAAGCTGATTTGCTTTCCTTGGGCAGGAAGTGGTTCCATGTATTTGGCTAAATGGGGTCAAAATATCTCTGATTCACTGGAAGGTATGCTACTTTTTCTCTAAATCTAAGCAATTTATAAGGTCACATATAGGAATTCGAAGCTCGGTAAAAATTTTCCTTATTGGTAGGTTGTCGTGGTCCGCGTGGTTGTCTTGAGGGTCTTGAGAGAGAGTGGCAAGAGGTTAAGACACAGACACAAAGACATAAAGAAAAGCTGGGGTCAGATGGGACACTTTCCTCTGATGGAGGAGAAGTAGCCCCGAACTAGCTCAGCACATATATTTCATAATCAAGTATAAGGGAAGTTGGAAGGGATTCAAGGTCTGTGAGGGAGTTATAATTGGATTTTGTTGTTCTCTAAAAGGCGAGTTGTTTTGTAGTTATCTTGTTGTAGTTAAGGTTTTATCTCTATTGTGTGTACCTGGCTGTGTGGGCATCTGAGACACTGTTTTGTGTAGCAGGTTGTGTCTCTCATAGTCTGTCTTTGGTTAGGATGTAGAGTTTTTAAGTGAGACCTTGCCTTCGCCTGGGGCCTGCTCCAGTGACAGTGCTCGTCTGCTCTGCACATCACACCCGCTTTTGACAGTAGGCAACTAATAATGGACATTCAAAACTGCATTTCAGTGGGGGTGATTTTTACATTTCTAAAATAAACTGCCTTTACTTTGTTATTGTCATTAAAGCTAGAAGGATCTTTTAGGAGCTGACATTCTAACACTGCATGTGTTTTTAATGCAATTATTCATATGGTTGAATCGAATCTACCATCTTGCAATTGTTTTCCATTTGTCCTATCTGTGGTTTGTTCTATTCTCCCATTTTCTGCTTTTCCCTTGAATTCACAGCGTATTTTTTAAACTGTTCAGCACGTCTCCACTATTGCCTTATTACCCATAGATTTTTTTTCCCTTTATTTCAATAGCTTTATGGGGGACAAATAGTTTGGGGTTACGTGGTTGCATTGTGTAGTGGTGAAGAAGCCTGGGCTCTAAGTGTACCCACCACTTCCACCTGTGTACACTGTACATAGGTGATTTTTCATCCCATCGTGCTTTCTCCCTCCCTTTCTGAGTCTCCAATGTCCATTACATCATTCTCTACACCTTTGCAGATTCTTAGTTCAGCTTCCACTTATAAGTGAGAACATGCAGCGTTTTTCCGTTCCTGAGTTAATTCACTTAGGACGACGTTCTCCACTTCCATCCAAGTTGCTGCAAAAGACATTACATTATTTCATTCTTTTTGATGGCTGAGTTGTATTCCATAGTGTGTGTGTATGTGTGTGTGTGTGAGATTTTTATTCTCCACTGATTGGTCGATAGGCATTTAGGTTTGATTCTAGCCATAGTTTTCCCACGTTAGTGGAAGCTGTAGGATTTACAATAGGCACTTGAATTTATCACAGTCCATCTTAAAATTAAGAACCTCACAACAGCATCCTGCCGTCTTTCCCTCTGGTCTTATTGCTGTTGTCATATATTTACTTCTATAGTACATTTTAATTATTTTTGCTTTGAATAGTTAATTTTATCTTACATTTTTTTAAATGAGAAAAACACCCTTTCCATTTATCCACGTCTATTATTTATAGCACTTTCTTCCTCTGTGTAGTCTGCATTTCTACTTGGAATCATTTTTCTTCGGCCTAAGAAAACACTTTCATAGTGCATGTCTGCTTCACTCAAAAGACTGAAATTGATTCTATTTTACCTTCACTTTTAAATTATATACCATCTCAATGGAGAATTCTAAGCTGACTTTATTCCCATCACAGATGACATTCCACTGTCCTCTGACTTTAAATTGTTTTTTATGAGAAGTCACCAATAATTATTAATGTTATATACAAGTGTTGCTTTTCCTTTGGCTGATTTTAAGACTGTCTATTACTTTTTAAAAAATTTTATAGGGCCAGGCACAGTGGTTCATGCCTGTAATCCCAGCACTTTGGGAGGCTGGTGTGGGAGGATTGCTTGAGCCCAGGAGTTTCACATCAGCCTGGGCAACATAGCAAGACCTTTATCCTACAAAAAAGTTTTAAAAGATTAGCCAGGCATGGTGGTGTGAGCCTGTAGTCCCAGCTACTTGGGAGACTGAAGGATTACCTGGGCCCAGGAGGTCAAGGCTGCAATGAGCCATGATCATGCCACTGCACTCCAACCTGGGCAACAGAGCAAGAACCCAAATCAAACAATATATATATTATGATGTGTCTTCATGTGGTTATCATGCTTGGGGTTCATTAAGTTTCTTGGATTTATGAATTAATACTTTTTATTAAATTTGGGCCGTTTTCAACAATTTCTTTCTACCCTTTTCTTCCTCTGTTTCTTGGGTCTTAAATAAACATGTTCTACCACTAGAGATCATCCCACAGGTCACTGGGACTGCTCAATTTTAAGCCCCTTCTCTCTGTGTGTTTTCATTTGAATTTATTCCCTTGTTCTGTCTTGGAGCTTCCTTATTGGTGGGTTGTAAACTTGATTTTTATTTTTGTTTCTTGCAGCATTATGAAACTAAAGAAAGCATTACACTTCATTTTAGTGATTTTCTGCTTGTTAGGATAAACTGAAGTTGTGTGAGCTGGTGCCATGAGAATAAAGCAAAGATTTGCAAAGGTAAAGCAGAAGAGTTTATCACATTTAGAACAGACTCTAAATAGGACCAGCACTAAGAGGCAGTACGGTGAGGGGACTGAGCACGAAGGGCTTTTAAAATTGTAATCAAGGAGACAGGGTTAAAAAACCTCTCAAGCAGCTGCACTCCCAAGCACTGATAACACCGGTGGTCTTGTGTCCTTGGCATTGGCAGTGCAATCAGTCCTGTCACTCCAGGGCCTTTGGCCTCCGGTGGGCTGGAGGGCAGTCACGAAAGGCTGATTCCAATGAGGTCAGCTTGGTCCTGTGTCGCTGGTAAGCAAAGACCTAGAATAGACGTGCTTGGGAGATGCAAAACAATCATTAATAACTCCCTCCATAAGCTGGCTCTGCCCTTGGCTAATGATTAAGAAGCGGGGAAGGGGAGAGACAGCTAGCAAAGGATGACAAAGCTTAAGCAATGTTAAAGCGATTGTTCTCTAGCTAAGTCATTTCATTTGACTTCACCCTTTCACTGCTTGTATTTTCTTAATCTCTTGATACGTGTTCTTTAAGAATCAGCCAGATACCTTGAGGCGAAAACATACTGTATCTTTCTTCTCTCTGGAACCCTGGCATCTTGATTTGTGGCTGCCTGTATGACAGTGTGTTCCCCTTTTTGTTTCTCTTGTCCTGTGAGAATGCAAAAAGTTCTGCTGGCTTCTTGGTTTCTTAGAAGTAGCCCTCAGCTGGAATCTAGAACTCTTGACCTGTGCCAAATAATTGATGCATCTTCACTGTGGGAAAGAGACCCAAAGAATCTCAGTCCACTTCTCTAGCATTCTCTCCTTGCCAGGCAACTCACCCACGCCTTTAAACAGATTGAGTGTGTGTGTGTGTGTGTGTGTGTGTGTGTGTGTGTGTGTGTGTGTGTGTTTTATTCTATTTTTCTATGTTTTCAATAAGAATGTTGGTCTACTGCAAGATATTTCTTAATAATCACAAGCGGAAAGCTGGTTAGGTAGGCTAATATAACAAACCATAGTGTACCAACCACCTGCCTTTTCAAATATTACTATTTGACATATTTGCTTCAGTTTTTGTTTATTTGTTTTTCTTTTATTCCTTTGGGAAAAAAGTTTCTACTTAATTTTTTATTTTAAATGCCATTTTTTTTGGAGTCAGGGTCTCACTATGTTACCCAGGCTGTAGTGCAGTCGCACAATCACAACTCACTGTAGCCTTGACCTCCTGGGCTCAGGCGATCCTTCTGTCTCAGCCTCCCAAGTAGCTGGGCCTACAGGCATGCACCACCACTTCCAGCTAATTTTTAAAATTTCTTTATCGAGATCATGTCTCTCTATGTTGCCCAGGCTGGTCTCAAATTCCTGGGCTCAAGCACTCTGCCTGCCTCAGCTTCCCAAAGTGCTGGGATTACAGGCATGAGCCACTGCCTCTGGTTCAAACACAATTTTTTAAGAATAGTTTTAGATTTACAGAAAAATTGCAGATAATACAGAGAGTTCTCACATACCCACACCCAGTTAAGTCTTCATTACTTAACAAATGTACCATGGCATGTTTGTCACAACTAAGGATCCAACATTGCTACATTATTATGAACTAAACTCCACCGCTTGTTCAGATTTCACTAGTTTTTCCCTAATGTTCTTCTTCTATCTGTTCCAGGATACCACATGGCTTAACTGTCATACATCTCCTTAGCCTTTCTAGTCTGCGACAGTTTCTCAGACTTTCTTTGTGTTAGGTGACCTTGGCCATTTTGAGACATTTTGTAGAGTGTCTGCCCATTTGGATTTTCCTGACGTTTTTCTCATGGCTAGACTAGGATTACGGGTTTCAGGGAAGAAGACAGAGGTGAAGCGCCATTCTCACCGCTTTATTTCAGGGTACGTGGTAGTCACATGATTCTTCACAGATAATGAGAAGCTCAGTCCCCTGGCCAGGAGGTGCGTGTCAGATCTCTTCTTTCTTATTCTACTCTTTGGAAGCAAGTCACCCAAGGCAGAGGGACTAGGCCCACAGGCCTAGATTTTATCACCCAGGTGTCCAAATTGCAGCCACCTTGGTCCACTTTCGAAAGGTATTTATTTATTTTTGAGTCGGGGTCTCACTCTGTCACCCGGGCTGAAATGCAGTGGCACGATCACAGCTCACCACAGCTCTGACCTCCTGGGCTCAGGCAATCCTCCCACCTCAGCCTCCCAAAGTGCTGGGATGACAGATGTGAGCCACTGTGCCTGGCCCACTTTAAAACATTTTTCTTTCAGATTTTCTTTTTTCTGACAATATCCTTAAGAGACACACCTATTATCTTTATGAAGTCAATAAACGTATCTTTTTTTTAGTCTTAGAATCACAAGGAAATTGGTTCTTGATTGGATAAAGTTCATCTGCTAGTACAAAGGTTAGCTATTTTTTTCTTTTGAACACTGATTATATAGT